AAGTCTCACAAAGACGGATAGGCAGCACATGCTCGTAGCAGAAAAGGGAAATGGAGGCAGGTGAAGCTGCCAAAGAGAACCAATGAGTTGGCGTGGTTCCCACGATCCCATGTGACCAACAGGAGGAGCATCGGCGCAAATGCTGGAAGCGAGGGAGCCACAGGGATGGTAAAATATCAGGGAAGAGGGCAGGTGGGAATGCATGGTGGTCTAATACAGAGCTATGCAGTGCTAATGTACGGACTACATAGTATGTAATTTGCAAGCCTGTGTCTCTCGCAGTCTCACTCCCTGCCAGTGTCGACACGCTTTACGCAGTAATACTTACTCGTCCGGCCAGGCTTTGGATTGCCAGGGTTGAAGGGACGGTTGACGTGTGGGCTGGGCCGTGGGTGTCTGTCGGCGCTAAAGTGCCAAAGGTACGTTCTTCAGCGTTCTGCGCCGTTGGGCTGCCCCCGTAAGAGGATTAAATGAATGGATGGATGAGGTGCTGCTGACCACTGCCCGGTGCTTGGCCAGAGACGCGCACCGGAAGTGGACGTGAGTCGTAGTTTTTTTTTCTCTCTTTGGTGGAGACGCGCTTCGGCTTCGGGAGGAGGCTGGAACGGGCAGACTCGACGTGGATGAGGGGCGATTGTGTCCATTGTGAGGTCAGAGGCTGCGATATTTTGCAGACAAGATGGCTGGTTTGCAAAGGCGGTCTATGGAGTAGATTCCAGAATACTCAGAATATTCAAGATTGAAGATGCAAGTGAAGCAAGCAAACAGGCAGCTTGCACCCGAGTTGAAGATGCAGACTGCCGTCAACGGGACAATTAAAGATTGAAACACCCATTAAAGCTCAGATAGCGGCCCGCGTCGGCCAGGGTCGTGGCCTGAAGACACCCCAAGCGTCATCTTTAGCGCTTGCGAGGCTCCGCCGGTGCGCTAAGTGCGCTGTAAGGTAGCCGTTGACTTGTCACAATCAGTGGACTACTGGAAAGCAGCGAGTGCCCGGTACAGCGGTCGGGGACGATACAGTGGTGTGCGTGCTCCACCGGCAAGCACAATTCCTTGCACAGCACAACGTCTGGACGCGGGGGACGCGATCAACGCCAACGCGCAAGAACACGCTTCGCTCCTGCCATGCTAACGGAAGGGGGCCATCAAAAAGGTCCCGTCCCCGTCCAGACACCCACCACCACGCTCCTGGTCACTCACACTCTGGGCCGCCTTCCACCAGACCTGCAACCACTTTGACAGTTTTTGCATCAGGGAATTATTGTGTGTGGAAAACTCCTCTCTCGTCTTTTCACCTTCGTCCTGTATATCCATTATCACTTCCACTCTTCACAACCTACCTACCTGCCCGTCGGCCCTGTCCCCCACCACGAAACCACTTACACGCGATTCCACTCTACGCCAAAATCCACGCCTGATATCGGGGACCGAAATCGCGCCCACCAAGACGCGACTGCTCACCACGCGGAAGAAATACACTGAAGAGAGAAAAGAGGCACAGGAACAAGAAGCACGACCACGCATCACTTGGGGCAGTCACTCTTTTGGCAGGGCATGCCGTCGTCGCCGCAACAATGATGGATTCGTCGCCTCAATCCAAGAACCCGGAGCCTACCCTCCCCATGGCCGGCACCAAGCGTCCTGCTCCGAGCCTTCTGCCGGCATTCGAACCTCTGTCTTCCTCCCCGGGCTTTCCTCGACCTTCCAAGCGTCAAGCTCGTCCCGGTTCCGTCGGAGGAAACAGCGCCTACCTCAAGTATCCCACGCCAATTCCGACTTCTAGCACCGGCATCCTTTCGTCTTCCCCACCCCGCGTTCACCAGCGCCCCGGCGCTCTCTCGCGAGCCCTCTCCTCCGCCTCCGAACGCACGCCCCTCGGTGCCGTCGCCTCCATTGAATTGAACGACAACGGCGAGACCCTGCTCATGGGCCGTTCTAGCAACTCATCCCATTACCAACTCTCCGCCAACCGTCTCGTGTCCCGCGTGCACGTCAAGGCGCGATTCGTGCCTGCTCCCTCGGCACTGGAGCCGAATAAGATTGAGATTCTGTGCAATGGCTGGAACGGACTGAAGCTGCACTGCCAGGGCCGCACGTGGGAGCTGCTCAAGGGCGACTCGTTCACGTCCGAGACGGAGGGTACCGAAATTATGCTTGACGTCCAGGATGCGCGTGTTATGATCCAATGGCCGAAGCGGGACCAACGTGACCGGCTGGGAAGCCCCGAGTCCCAGTGGGACGACTCCCCGCCCCGGCCCAATGCCCGTGCCGCCGCCGCCACCGCCAACCTGCTCCAGTCAAGTCCCCTGCGCCGTACATCGCGCATCGAGTCTCCGGACTCTCCGACGCCGGCGCACATGACCAGCTCCCAGCGCCTGCAAGCTCTTCTTCCCACTGATGATGGAGAGGTCCACATCTACGAGGACTCCAGCGCGGACGAGCCGGAGCTCCCCAAGCTTACTGACTCGGGTGTCAATGTCGGCCAGAGCTTCGCTACCGAAGTGACCAACTCTTTCTCGTCCGAGCTCAGCGAGCCCGAAGACGAGAACGATCCGGATGAGGAAAACGACCCCATCGTCCACTCCTTCGGTCCCTTTGGAGCTGACATTTCCAACCGCCTGGCCTCTGTCTTGGCCACTACACCCAAGTACCCGTCTGCCAAACACTCACAGCTGCCTCCTATCCGCGATGACTCCAACCCCTCCAGCCCCATCTCTGCGCCGCCAAAGTCGCCGGTCATCAAGGAGGAAGAGGAGGAAGTCAAGGAGCCTCCCTACGAGAACCCTGCCGTGCGCAACCACGTCGTCAACCAGCTCGCCTTCTCCCGCCTGTCGTCCAACCCTCTGTCGACCATCATGAACAATCTCCCCTCCGAGCAGAAGAAGGGCCTGCTCAAGGAACAATTGCGAAGCCTACTGGAGAACACGGCGTGCATCGGCATCATCCGCCGCCAGGGCAAGGATGCCGCCGGCAAGCCCCTCGAGAGCGAGTACTACTACGTTCCCGAGGCCGACGACGACGAGCAGCGTCGCTTCGCCGTCACGGACGGCCTCCGAAAGCCCAGTCTGAGAGCCTGCAGAAAGCAGCACAAGGTACGACCAGCTGAAATGAAGTCGAAAGATGCCTCAACTAACACGATGGGCTTGTTAGCAATATTACTGGAAGCGCCCGCGAACCCCTTGAATGATTCCTGCTTTGGCTTTCATCCCATGTCAACAATCTTTTTGGCTTGCACCCAGCAACCTTGCTCAAGCTGAGCTGATGCCATGCACACTCTCCGCATGATCAGCACTCAGGCTACCCCTTCAACTGTCCATACCTTGGCTCTAAACCTACCCGTTTGGCAAAAAACTTGTGTTCTGGCTGCATAGCGCAAGGCGTTTTATGGATTACACTGTTTTTATTATCTTGTTTTTTTTTGTTCCCTTTTTTTCTTGAACTCTGTACGACTCACACTACTACTACTATACCTCGGGTTTCCCCCCCCTTATTCTTATTCCCAACGATTCCCCATACACACAACACCCGCTTAGATGAGATACATGCATTACGCCGGTCCAGTTTCAACGATTTGGAGCGAGCAAAGCTGCATTATTAGGCTGAAATTCTCCGTTTTTCTTGTCGGCGGGCGATGATCTTTCTGCGTTGGAAGGAATACAGGAAAAAGAAAACTTGGGATGGGACGGATTCTGGCGAGGGACGGAGACGGGAAGGGGAAGGGGTAGGGCGAACGATTGGTAAAAACGGATTGACGAGGTGATGGTGGAAATGTAAAACTCGATGACTACGCTTGAATCAGGTCTGGTAAATACAATGCTTGTTCCTTCAGGGATTTGTTTCGTTCTACTGTTTGGGTCTCGAGTATGGTCGGCGGTTGGGTGGCTCCGTAGCTGGCCACCGAGGGACCGGCCGTTGTAGACCTATTTCATTGCGTCGGGTCCTGCTGGCTTGAAGCTTGCTGGCTCGCGATGATCCAGCAACGATGCAGAAATGGAGAGGAATTCCTTCAATCCCAGATCGCGATCCGAACAGTAACCACAGATGTCATCACGCATCCGCCATCACGAGAAGGATGGAATGTGGTTGCACCGGCAGCGACACTGAAAGGAGCTCCTGTGGGTCCCACCACACCCCTGTCCCACGCCGATAACGTCCGATAAAGCTAGGTAGGCCGGCGACCGGGTCTCGACCTCTTTACCCCGCAATGACGGCGGTGGTGGTCCCCCTTCTCGTTGCAACTCACCTTGCCCAGAAGGAACTACCTAACAAAAACGACGAAGGCGGCGATCAAAAGGTGCAACACCGTATTATGGGCTATCACACAGCTTTGCTAGGTAGCTAGCTACGTAGATGGTCCCATGCCCTTACCTCACCTCACAGCATCAAGACGAGCTAGACAAAGAAAAGCATGTGCTTCGTTGGATGTGGTGGTGGTGGTGTGGTTGAACAGAAACAACCCCCATCCGCCAGTGGCGACAAAAGCTCTGTCCACTGGTGTGATCGTCGTCTGATGTCAGTTGCTCACTGGCCGGTCCCCCATCGCTCGTGCATGAGAAACTCTCAGCTTGCTTCGCCTTGCCTGCTAAGTAAGGTAGCCCCGGGACGGAAACGGGGGACGGTTTGAGCTGCATGAAGACGAAGGAGGGGGTGAGTAGGCAAGTTGAAGGTTAGATTGGAGCTTGAAGGAAATTGGACCCTGGAATTTGGGGGAACGTCTGAGGGAAGCTGTTACCCGGGGTCGTCTTGATATAGAAAGGGGAAGCTCCCGCCTCGATGAACGATTCCCTCTCCGCAGCACTTGTCTTTAATTTCAACTTACATTCCATACCTCTAAACCAAAACATCAACAACAATTCATCCGCCTCTACATCCTACAAACCTCAAGACAAATATCAGCATCAGTCCTCTAATCCAAACAACAACTCACCACCGTCAGACTCCAAACCTAACACACATCCACCACTCCTTCTCCCATCCACCAAACAAGAACACACATCAACATGTCCTCCCAACCCTCCATGGCCAACGTCGCCCCGCAAAAGGACGTCCCCCACGCCGACGCCCACGACCCCTCCAGCCCAGCCGCCGAGGCCGCCCGCGTCATCGAGCGCACCAACAGCTGGAAGCCCTCCTTCGAGCGCCGCCAGAGCTGGAACAAGGAGGACCAGAAACGCGAGTTGCAGATGAGTCACATTGAGGATGTCAAGACTGGGCCTGGCTTCACCGAGAGGGCATGATTGTGTTGCCATAGCATGATTTGGTGCAGAAGAAATGAGGGACGGACGCTGGGAAGGGTGTTACGACACAGATCGTCTGACTACCCAGAGCATCAAGCTGGAAACATTGGGAAAGGGGAATAAGGCGTTCAAAATTGCATGATCACGACACTGCTTGTACTTGTACTCTACCAAACACGCATCATTGAATTGGTCTGAAGCTTTATTGTGTGTGCCATTGAATCCCATAACCCTAGTCATCCGTCCCGTCCCAGTCCTAACGAAAACAAAACCCGATGAGTGGAATTGATTGAAAACCAATCGCATCGTGGAGAGTACTATTGGTACATGTAAAGAGTAACAGTACTGGTGATGAATCCCTCATCGCAAAAGTATATAGTCCACCATTCTCTTGATGAAATCTGAATCAGGCCTACAGCCCCTTGGGCCCACGACCGTCCTCGCCTCCTGTCTTGAAATACTCCCCAACCACACCAATAGCGTATGAGATCCCGCCAACCCACGCAGCGCCAAGAAGAATCTTCCTGGCCCTGCGCTTCTTCGGCCTTCGAGGAGCCTCAAAATCCTGACGGTCACACGAAATCGTGTTGCGTCTTCTCACTGCGCTAAAGGGTGGTGGGGGTTTGTCCTCCGCCTCCGCTCCCGGATAATCATAATTCAGATAGCCTGTTGGACTCGAGGAGTAAGCGCTTGGTACCACGGGGTCGCTCCCCATCATGTCGATGGGGTTCACCTTTGGAGCCTGGTAGGTCGTCGGCTTTTCGATCGTAGGAGTGAAAGGGGTCACCTCTGCCTCGCGGACCTTGCGGAAAACCAGGACGTCTCCGCTTCCGGAGACGATTTCGTAGCCTTCCTTCTGGAGCGGGCTGAAGTAGGGGAAGAACTTTGTCGGGTTGGACAAGCGGAGGAGAACCTCGGCCGGTGTCAGTGGCGTCGCGCTGTCAGGTACCACCGAAGTAGTCTCTGCTGTGTTGATGGTTTGCATCGTCGGGTCGTAGGCGAGAATCTTGTAAACAACAGGCTCACGAAGTTCCTCCTTGGCCAACGTCGACACACTCTCCGGAGCTGCAGCATCTGCGGCGGCGTCTGACGCTGTGCCGTACGATCGCACATAGGAAGGCCAGGTTTGCTTGCCACCACACTCCTCAGAATAGCTCAGCTCAAGGCCCTGGGGCTCTGTGGAGTATATATCAGGAAGACCCTGCTTTCCTGCTACACGTTGCGACTTGAAAGCAGAGGCCCTGTTCATCGCCGGCTCCAATTTCGGAAAGCTCTCATCGAAGGAAGCAGCTTCGACGTCATCACCCTGGGGGCTCTGATACTTGCTGTCCTCTGCCTTTGGGCTTTCCGCCACAATATTGGTCCATGATCTGGAGAAATCCTCTGGAAAATCCCTGACATAGTTGCCGGTCAAGTCTTCCTTGGGTTGGATGTTCTCCCACACCCTGCTTTTAGCCTTGCGCAGACTCACGCGAGCTGCCTTGCTTGAAATATCCCAATTCACTTCGTACCGCGGTAGGTCAGCCTCGAGCATTTGCCGGTTAGTAGTGCTGTAACCCCTACGAGACTGGCCAGAAGAGGTCGGGATCTTGGCTCGAATATCGCTTGCGCGCAGCAGGTCCAAATCGTCAGCTCTTTCTTGGTCTGTCGCGGAGGTGGTCAGGATGCGCTTGCTCGCCCCTGCCGTTCCTGTAGTCGCCCCTGCTGCTGTTGCTGCTGCTGTTGCTGTTGCTGTTGCTGTTGCTGTTGCTGCCGCTGTCGCCGCCGCCGTCGTCCTTGACGCCTTTGCTGCAATTTCCGCGTCAAAATCGCTTAGGCCTTGAGATACAGGATCGATGACCTCGATCGGCTGTCCATCTGGCTCGTTGTGCCGATATGACTCGTACTTCTTCGCCTCGTCGAACGCAGTCTGATCCCACTCTGGCTTGGGACGTTGACCCTCGGGCTCGTCGTATTGAACAGGCCTGTGACGAGCCAAGTCTTCTGGGGCAACTGTGGCAGTAACGCCTTCCGGTGCCTTCCCGCCTCGGGTGAAGGAAACCGGGCCGTAGGTACCCAGATCGGTGTACTGCTTGGAGGCCTCTTCCGGATGCACTGGCGGCTTACCGTGCGGTTCGTTCCAGCCCACAGGCTCGTACTTTCCTAGGTCCGTATACGCCTTGGAGGCTTCTTCTGGGTGAATGGGGGCTCGGCCGAAAGGCTCATTATACGCCACAGGGCCGTATTTATGAAGATCGTCGTATTCCTTTGACCTCTCCTCGGCACTCAAAGGGCGGGCACCGCCCTCGGACTCGTTGTATGCCATCGGGCCATATTTGTGTAGATCGTCGTAGTCTTTTGACCTCTCCTCGGCACTTAGGGGGCGGGCGCCGCCCTCGGCCTCGTTGTAACCACTAGGGCCATACTTGTGCAGGTCGTCGTAGGACGTCTCCTTGGCGTCCTGGTCCTCGTTGTGCATCACTGGCCCGTACTTATTCAGATCCGAATACCTCTCGTACGCTTCGGGGACTTCTGCATCCTCGTTGTGCATCACAGGGCGGTACTTATCGAGATCTTCGTAGGCAGGCTGAGAGAGCTCCTCAGGGGGCCCGTCAGAGAGGGATGGGTTGGAATACTTGTGAAGGTCCTCATATTTTGGCTGTCCGGCTTGGTCGTCCTTGATAAAGTCCTTCAGCCCTACTGGTGTGTACTTATGCAGGTCGTCGTATTCGGACTCTGCTGGTTTCTGCTGTCCCGCATCGAGCTTCTCGTCCATCACGGGCTTGTACTTGTCCAGGTCCGAATACTGCGGGGCCCCCGCATCTCCACTGTCGGCCCACGGGGTACCATCGAGCGGGACCTGACCGTACTGCTTAAGCTCTTCCGGCGGAGGTGGGCCGTCCTCGTAGAACGGCTCGTTGGCCGCGGCGGAACTACTTTCAACGGCCGAATCTGGTGAAACCCTTCGATTCGTGATAGGATCAATTTCGAACTCCGCACCCCGGCTGGCCGAGGTCGTCGACTTGCCGCGAGTCTGGCTACCGAGGTAGTTGCGAATGTTCTGCAGGGGTGACTGCCACAGATCATATTCGTAGGGTCCCGTTCGCTTGGAAGAGAACAAGGCGTTGATAGCACCACGCTCGACGTCTTCGATGTTTTGACCAGGGCGAACTCCTTCTTCGCCGCTTGCTTTATCGCTCGGCCCGCGGCTTCCCTTCGGATTGGTGTGACCGTGTCTAACCCAGCACTGCGCCATCATCTTCTTCATGAGAATTCTTGAATCCTCGCCACGCGAGCTTGGGTCCCATGATATCTTTCGGTTGATTGACTCCATATACTTGTAGGTGACGTTGCGCTGGTGCTGTCGCAGCTGTCGTTGGAACTCGGGGTCTAGGTAAGTGGACCACGCGCGGAAGCGAAAGCCGCGAGTCTGGCCGTAATGGCTTGCCTTCGCATGGTTGTTGGCGAGGGCTCTCACTTGGAGGCCACCCGCACGAGACGAGCGAGGGACGTTGGAGAGCATGTTGACGCTTCTACCATGCTACCTGCACTGGCTGTAGTTAGCACAGGGTACACGACGTAGCTGGGCTCTGGTTGTCGTCGCTGGGTGTCGTCTCTAGGCGTCGTCTCTGGCCACTGTCTCCGCCGTCTCTGGCCGCCGTCGCTGGTGACGTCCAGAGATTATTCGTACGTGAATAGTCGAATAAACAGGAGACACTTACACAGGGGTGAAATTGCAGAGCCAAGTGCCTGCATGGACGATGCTTTTGGAATGACGGGAGGAAAAGGGAAGTGGAAAACCGCCACCTGCATGAGGACGAGAAGGTTGGGAGGTAGCTACCTAGGTAGCGACGGATCGAGGAGACGGCCTACCGTTATGGGCAGAGCCGTCTTGGGTTGGCGAGGTACTGCAGGGGAGTACACTTCAGTGTTAGCTGCCCGGGGTCACTGGCCCACAGTCTCCGCTCCCAGTGCCTTAGCGCCTTTCCCGCAGTGGGCTCGGCGCAGTGGACGTGGAGGCGGCCTTCAGCGTGCAGTTTGCGGGGTAGCCTTTCGAAACCGCCGAACGATCCCGAACGGCGACGCCCAGGTCAACGGGGGGCCTCTTCGAACGTTGACTGTAAGGTATGAAAGCTACATAACAGTCGATGCTCCTATCCGAAGTACCTATCTCGACTTCGGCTCACTCCTGTTTTCGTGATCGTCCTTGTCCTTGGCGCCTCTCTGTCTTCTTCTCGTCGCTGTTTTCCGCGGTCGTCCGCCGTCTTCTGTCTCTAAAGCCTGCCTTACTATTGGATTCAAGCAGGTAAGCAAACTTTCAGACAACTAGGCTATTTGTTCATAGATATGCAACGCCTATATTGAATACACAATCCCAATGCCCAGCAAGGTGCTCTTGTTCCATTGACGTCGCTGCTGGGTTTGGTGAAGCGCCGTCTGTTGTTCAAGCTGGGAGTGGAGTAACACGAATTGGAGAAGTGATAAGAAAAGGCCAATAGAAGCATCGAGATAAAGCAAGGGATGGAAGGACGGGGGGCACGGACATCACTGTGCACGGATGTAATGAGGCCACAATCAGCCAAAGTCACGTGCGAGGGGCTCACCTATGACCGCATCATCTCCGTCCACAGGAACACTGCGAAGAAGCTTTGGCGGGGCAGCTTGGCTATTTTCATTCGCCGGCTCTGGATGTGGTTCGGCCAAAACTTATTCGGCCTGAGTCAACAGGGCACTGCACTCTCTTTGGTATTCCATGTCGATTGAAGCCTGCGATGCGACGAGGCCAATCCAGCTCTTCTCAGCCTACCGTCGTTTTGCTCTCATTTCCTTGAAATAATAGGCCCTTGAAAGTCTGTTGACTTGGAGCGCCTCCGTCCGTCTTTCACGTTTCCAATTCCTAAGCACCCTTCTGGATTCTTCGGTGCCGCACTTCTGCACTCTACCCCGCCAACGTCATTTTGAGCTCCCGCGCTTCGCCGCGCTAGGTCTCTCGCGCTCGCAGCGTCAACGACATCACCTTC